CTTGGTGGGAGAAATGAAATCATGCTGAACCGGTTGCTGCTCACCAAAGTCTGAAGCTTTCTGGCAGTGCGACGAGGAGGCTGGTCCGGATCCAGTTGAGGGGAAATTGGACGGCAGCTTCACCTAGGCAGAATGGAGGGTATCGGAAAGCGCGTTACGTGTAGAGATTTTTTTTGCAATTTTGTTTACTCCACTGCTGAAGAAGGTCACTAGCGACAATGGGAACATCGAGAAACAAACTTAGAGATACTACTATGTTGCTCCATCGCAAGATACATTACTTGATTTGGGAGTCAATTAATAGCTGCATGTTCAGAACCCGAACACGAGCAATCTATGCTCAGTATTTCTTTGTTGCCATAACGAAGCTGATTCCATGATACAACTTTCAAGGACACCCAACAGAAATGGTTATTCTTGGGAAAATCAACGAAAAAGTAGAGCGGATTAAGCAACATGCGTTGGACGAAAGCCATATCTGGTATGGCCAGACCAAAGGAACGTCACTAAGACAAGTGAACCTCAGTGGCCATTCTGTAGCCTCGACCATCGACATAGGCCTAACCATGAGACGAATTAGCACAACTTACTCTGGGGCCAGATTTGAAGTTAACGTGAGTTGGTCTTCTCCGGAAGCAAATAAGTTCCCTGAAATGGGAGACAAATATAAGACAGCTGAATGGAACGCCAACGGGGTCATTTCCGTGAAACGGAAAATCAGGTAATGCGAAAAGTGTGTGAACTGGGGAGTGGAACCCAAGTGGGGATAAAGGAAACGAAAGTGTGACACTATGAGGATGTACCCACTGAAACCAGGCTTTAGCTCACAAACAGTTAATAAAAATGAAAATGGACGTGGTCCATTGTATGAATGGCAACATCAAAAGACTACGAAGAGGCACAACTAAAGGGCTTAGTCCAATGCTACCTCGACAAGAAACACCAGAAAAGTACTGATGGTCGGTTATACGGGTAGTTTGCCTAGTAGTCTCGAGCAAACTGGGTGCTCCAAAGGAGATGATAGCGTGCGAAAGACATGTGGGCATACATGTGCATGCATACATACCCTCACCCAGTGCTGACTATCCATTGATTTTAGTCAGAGTAATTCCTCCTCGGATCAATCGAATCTCAGGTTTTCTGACAACCCAATGAACTTCGAGTTACAGCAGTGAGTTTCGAATTAGCCTGTTACGTCTGTGCGCATTTCAAAGTATGATCTGTTTGTGTTGACCCCCGTAATGGAACAAAATTGGTGGATCATTTCCTCTAGAAAGTCCGTCAGTTAGACCAGTTACTGTTCCATCTTTTCCGTAGTCTGGGAATCAACGCGCACCTTATTGACATGCACTTGCAGTCTGACCGGTTTTTCCATTGACAAATCGCGGTAATATACAAGACATAAATTCATTGAAATACGGAAAATGATATGTTGGTCAACTGTTAACAGAAGTAGGATCAGCCTTAATCTTGCCATCACGGCTACTGCACAGCCGGGATTCCAAAGCACGATAAAACCAGTATGAATAGTGAAGACTTCGTACGGGGGCGAGAGGGCTCACTGGTTGGAGCGCGAATTTAGTGACCGAATGGTTCGTGGTTCAAACCTGGCCACTGTACCTCGACTTCCCTTGTCTAGGCTTGGGCAACCTGGCAGTATCCTAGCTTTTGTGCTCCCTTTGGGTGGCATGGCAGCTAGGCGCCGAAAGGTGTGTACGCTTGGACTATCAGTAAAATCGAAATCTATTCATTCTAAAGATGGGACCTACTTGTCGCAACACGGTAAGGCACGATTTACCTATAACCGAATTCCACAGAAAGGATTATAGCTGCCTGATATATTGCAGCCGTGAGTGACGTTCAAGGGTAGAATAATGGTAGGTTGAGGGCGCACCGATCTTTTGTCATTTATTTCGATCGGCGGTTACAGGCATGTACCTTTTCTGAAGCCTACCTTTAGCATTTAATCCTTCCTTTGAAGAATCGCTGCATATCTAGATATGAACATGCTGATCGTTTGGTAAGAATATGTTAACGTGTTCACACTCTCATCACGGTGAACTTTAACATAAAGAGGAAAAGTTTTAACCATCATTAGGTAAAACAGGTGCATAAAATAAGCAGTGCCAACACAGTGTGGTGTGAGGGATGGGAATTCTCGGACGTTTTTCTCAAGAAGATTTAATATACATATCTCAGCACTGGCGAATTCAAAAGTGACCAATGCAGCAAGACACCTGCCTCCCGGGCCGAAGTTGATGGTATGGGTTGGAAGGCTAGGCACGCAGTCAACGGATCAATAGGTTTAGGGGAAACAATACCCGTGAGTGAATCCTATATTAAACATGTACATTCAAATGAATATAACCTGTGATTTCTGATAACTAATCCATCCCTAGCCGATAGCTATCAACTGGAGGCGGTGTTGTAGCGATCTCATAGGGTTTATTGGCTGGGACTTCGGTCCTCAGGGAACTGAAGTATGTCCACAACGAACCGGGTCGTAAGTACCATCATAGACAGCAATACACCAACCATAGTACCAGGTGCTTAACTGTCATACAACCATGGTAAGAGGTGGAAAGGAAAGGGAAAGATGGGGATTTAGTTTAGAAAGTCCCATGCCTCTAGAGAAGCCGTTCAGGGGCGAGGGGTCTACGCCTCCCAGAACCGAGGCAGCCACATCTGAGCATCATGTTCGAACACGACACCACCAGTGAGACTGATCCAGCGTCCCTTGCAAACCTCACCAGCAGTGGCCCAGCACACAACGACAGACAGGCGTCTCACGGACGATCTCCAGTGTATCTCAATGAAAATGCACAAACCGTTGCCCCATGGTACCATCCACTCTCTTCGTGACGGTTTGTAAATCTCGTACGGATGCTCCTTGTCTGCAAAGCTTGTTAGGAGAGGGTGAACACGTATCTACCGTACACCCCCGACCTAAAGCTGCCACCTTAACGTGGTGGTCGGGCTTCAGTGCTGCAATGATCCTGCGGGCTACACTGGCTGGAACTTCGTTCCACAAGGTGCAACCATGCCAGGAAGGCCAAAGGGGAGCAGCCAGACCAAGAGCAGCGAGACCCCGTACTACGAGTAATCGTGCTACGAGGCGGTCTGGGGGTAAAGTCGTACTGTCCTCTGCGACAGGAGTGTAAAGGCA